TTTGCAATTGTTATATCTTCTTGTGTATAGACCCTTTAATTATGATGTAGTGTCCTTCCTCATCTTTTATTATAGTCTTTGGTTTAAAATCTAATTTGTCTGATATAAGGATTGCTACCTCAGATTTCTTTTGATGCCCATTAGCATGATAAATGGTTTTAGACCCCCTCACTTTCAATCAGGAGGTGTCTTTGGGTCTAAAATGAGTCTTGTAGACAGCATATGGACAGGTCTTGTTTTTTTGTTTGTTTGTTTTTAGTTTTTTTGTTTGTTTTTTTATCCAATCTGATTCCTCCTTTTGATTGGAGCATTTAGTCCATTTACATTCAGAGTAATTATTGAAGATATGAATTTGGTGCCATTGTATTACCTGTAAAGTCACTGTTTCTGTATACTGTCTCTGTTCCTTTCTGGTCTATGTTACTTTTGGGCTTTCTCTTTGCTTAAAGGATCCCCTTTAATATTTCTTGCAGGGCTGGTTTAGTGATCACAAATTCTTTTAGTTTCTGTTTGTCCTGGAAGCTTTTTATCTCTCCTATTTTGAATGACCCTTTCTGGATAAAGTATTCTTGGCTGCATATTTTTCTCATTTAGTACCCTGAATATATCATGCCAGTCCTTTCTGGCCTGGCAGATCTCTGTGGATAGGTCTGCTGCCAGTCTGATGTTTCTACCCTTTTAGGTTATGGACCTCTTGTCCCAAGCTGCTTTCAGGATTTTCTCTTTGTCTCTGAGATTTCAAGTTTCACTATTATATGTTGAGGTGTTGAGCTATTTTTATTAATTTTGAAGGGGATTCTCTGTGCCTCCTGGATTTTGATGCCTGTTTCCTTTCCCAGATTAGGAAGTTCTCCACTATAATTTGCTCCAATATACCTTCTGCCCCCCTCCTTTCCTCTTCTTGGATTCTAATTGTTCTAACATTGTTTCTCTTTATGGTATCACTTATCTCTCAAATTCTCCCCTCATGATCCAGTAGTTGTTTATCTCTTTTTCTCAGCTTCTTTATTCTCCATCATTTTGTCTTCTATATCACTAATTCTTTCTTTTGCCTCATTTATCCTCGCAGTTAGAGCCTCCATTTTTTATTGCATCTCATTAATAGCTTTTTTGATTTTGACTTGATTAGATTTTAGTTCTTTTATTTCTCCAGAAAGGGATTCTCTAGTGTCTACTATGCTTTTTTTTCAAGCCCAGCTAGTATCTTTGTAACCACTATTCTGAACTCTAGTTCTGATATCTTATTTACATCCATACTGATTAGGTCCCTGGCAGTCAGTACTGCTCCTTGTTCTCTTTTTTTTTTCTTGTTCTCTTTTTTGAGGTGAGTTTTTCTGTCTTGTCATTCTTGCAGAATGTGGTAGCTTTTCTATTTGTAGAGTTTCAGCTAATCTTTTCTCAGATCTCTGATTGAGTTCGCAGGTGTTCAGAATGATTTGATAGCTATCTAGCTGAATTCCTGGGACAAGACAATACTAAGATCTTCTACTCCTCTGTTATCTTGGACTATCTCCTCCATGTATTTTTTAATTTCTTATTTGATTTCTTCATTGACCCAGTGGCTGTTTAGTGCCATATTGTTTAGTCTCCACATGTTTGTGCTTTTTCTGTTTTTTTTCCTTGTAATTGATGTCTAGCTTCATTCATACCAGTTGTAGTCAAAAAAGATGCTTGGTATGATTTTAATCTTCTGAAATTTATTTAGGCTTCTTTTGTGGCCCAACATGATGTATCCTGGAGAATGTTCCATGTGCACTTGAAAAGAATGTGTATTCTGTTGTTTTTGGATGGTATTTTCTGTATATGTCAAGTCCATCTGGTCTAATGTGTTGTTCAAAGACGCTGTTTCCTTACTCATTTTCTACCTGGATGATCTATTCATTGATATGAGTGGGGTGTTATAGTCCCCTACTATTTATCATATTGCTATCAAGTTTTCCCTTTGTGTCTATTAATATTTGCTTTATTTAGGTGCTCCTATGTTGGGTACATAGATAACTACAATTATATCCTCTTGTTTATTGATCTCTTTATCATTGCTGGTCCATTCTTCTGCATCCTCTAATCTACCTTCAATTCCCTCTAGTGTATTCTTTATTTCAATTATTGTATTTTTTTTCTAGTTTTTTTTTTTTTGTATTCTTCAACCCTGATTCGTTCTTTTTTTTATATTTTCTTTGTTGAAGGTCTCACTGAGTTTATCCACTCTTTTCTCTAGTCTGGTAAACATCTTTATGACCATTACTTTAAACCCTTTATCAGGTAGGTTGGTTATCTGTTTTGTTTAGTTCTTTCTCTTTTTTAGGTTTTTGTCTTGTTCTTTCATATTCCTCTGTCTTCTCATTTTACTTGGTTCTCTGTGTTTGTTTTTATGAATTAGGGAGAACAGCTGCTTCTCCTAAACTTAAGGAAATGGTCTTGTGTATGGTTGTCCCTTATGTAGACTATGTGTGCCTGGTCACTTTGGCTGCCTGGCTGGAGCTGTGCCTGGCGTGGGATGGGATTCCCAAGGCATTCTTTGCTAGAGCTACCCTGGTGGGATGGCCTGAGCTGAACTAGGCATGTAAGAGGATGTTCCTAAGTCTCTCTATGCTGAGGGTGTCCTGGAAGGACAGCTGAAGCTGAAGTGCGTATAAGCTGGCTGTCCTTGGGTACTCCACACAGGGAGCACCCTGACAGGTAGCTGGTGCAAATGCAGGCTCAAGCTATAGGTTCCTAGGCTTTCTGTGTAGGGTGGTTGGAGCTGAGGTGTGTATGGCCCAAGGGGTTCTCAGGGCACTCTGCTCAGGGTATACCCTGGTGAGTGGTGCAGAACCAAACTGGTGTGGGCCAGGAGTGTTCTGGGGTGCTTTGCTCCTGTGTCACCTTGGTGTGATGGCTGGCATTGTAGTGAGTGCTGACCTGGGTTGTCCCGGTGTGTGCCATGCTGGAGCCACCTTGGTAGGACAGTTGGGCTGATGTGGGCTAGGGGCCTAGGGCTCACTGAGGTTGTAGACTGGCTAGGGTACCCAAAGTATTCTCCCATCTACACTATCAAGGTGGAAAGGGAACAAACTGTGGCACTCAGCAGTCCCTCCAACCTAGAGTTTTCTAGCAGCTCCCCACACTATTTGTCAGAGTTTTAGGGTTGGCTCTTTTATATTCTAGTTGCTCTTTTAAACTGTGGCTTTTTTTTTTCCCCCCACACAAACGATGGTACTCATTAGCCCTTCTAACTTGGAGAGAGTTCTAGGGGCTCCTCTGCTGTTTGGGAGGGTTCTGGGGCTGGTTCCTTTATATTCTAGTTACCTTTTTAGACTGTGGCTTTTTTCCTGCACCCCAGGGCAGATGAATCCACTCATGGTCCTTAAGTACTGCTGTTGCTCCCCACTGCAGTTTGCAGTGTCAGGGGTGGGGATTCTTTTTCGTACTGTGTCTCCATCTTTTGTGGTGCAGAAGCTATTCAGTCAGCCCTCCGGAGGAATTCCTATGTAAATAGGTGTAAATTTGGTGTGTCTATGAAGGAGGTCTGAGTTGAGAGTCTTCCTGTGTCACCGTCTTGGAACAGACCTTCCAAGTTTTCTCTTCTTCCTTCCACCCACCCCTAAAGTGCCACACCAAGACAGCTACTAATGCAGGAGATTGATTTGATTTGACCCAAGAGCAGCTTTGACTGTAGAGGGGGAGAAGGTATTCTGCCAGTGATGTGTGCCATCTTATACTTTTGCAGAATGAATCTTATTCCCAGAACTGTAAGTGGAAATTTTCCCATTTCTGCCCCATCTGTCTCCAGCCTTTCATATGTATTCTGCAGCAGTGGTCAAACAAATGTCTTTTACTCTGCTCTTTCTGGGTAATGAAGAAATTTCCCTTTTCAGAGTATATCAGTATAACATTCTACTCATAACCTGGATCATTTTATTCTCTGAAAAGTGTAAATTATTCACTTCCTTCTCCAAATTTCTTAATATTTTTAAGTCATCCCAAGAAATGGAACTCTGACCTTCAACAACTGCAAAGCTAAACACTGAGGCAATAGGAATGTTTTCTATAGTGACTCAAGTTTAATATCAAGTTCTGGTTATAAACGAACAAAAACCTTTCTTTAATTCACTGAGCATCTTCTTCCCCATCCTGCTCTCTCATGATCCAAAATCTTAAGTGCTCTTTTTTTGAAAGTTTAAGGTTTTTCATATGTACTACCTGGTGCCACTTTGAAGTGAGTATTTAATTCCAGGAGTCATTAAATTACTGAATTACTTCATTTTGTGGAATAACTCTCCTGAAGAGTCGTTCAAAAAAATGTTCACTGAGCGAATACCATATTTTGGGCATGTTTCTGGGTGTTTAGGATTCATCAGTAAAGTCAACAATGAGACCTACTCTCTCAGAGCTTCCATTGTAGGAAACAAAAATATACAGTAGTGCCTGTTGTTTGTTAGAAGGTAATAACTGCTATGAAAGTATGTATGTAGATGAGGGTAAGGAGGTTCACAACACTGCAGAAGCTGCATGTAACCTTCATTTTTAATTTTAACTTTTTATTTATTATACGAAGTGGGGAACTGATTCCTGTAAGACTTTGTTACTTATACCTGATCACACATTAAAAAAAAAAAAAAGATGAGTGATTTAGCCTGAGTTCTTGTTTCTAATAGGATGTTCCTTTCATTAAATAAGTCTGTCCCATTACTATGATTAAAGTCCCAGATGTGCATCAGATTAAAAGTCTTGCATGTTCCAAGTGAAAATCTAAGCGGCATTTACTGGGCAAAAAAATATGTTAAAAAGATTTGTTTTAGTGATAAGAGAGGTAAATTTTATAAAGCTTTAAACAAATTTCTTTATAGAGAACTGCCATGTCAGGTTGTGAAACTGGTTTCACTCTTCTTCCTTCTGTGTTATATTTTCTAGAGTGGAAACTGAAATGTGAAATGCTGAGAAAATGACGTTTTGTGGGTTTTGTCACTAACTGGTAGGTCCCTTTGAACTTACAAATGACTGTTGTTTCCTTCTTTTAGTTTAGCTACTTGGAGAAGCTTCTGTTGGTTCATGGAGCTTGGAATCATTTTCGAGTGACGAAATGCATATTGTATTGTTTCTACAAAAATGTAGTGTTATACATTATTGAGGTAAGAAAAGAGATACACCTGCTTTCATGGAAAAGTTAGGTCTTTCTTTGACATCAGGCTTGGTAGTTTAGGGTTTTTTTCCCCCATATTTGTATCACTTAAATTACCATTACATAATTCTGTTTTAGGTTTTCACTCTAAGTTATTGAGTAAATTTGAATCTTCTAACCCCACCATCCTGACTTAAAAAATACTTGTTAAGCCTTTAATTTGGCTATGGAAATATATTTTTAAATATTTTATTTTGAAATAATTATAGATTCAAAGGAAGTTACAAAAATATTTTTAGGAGGTCCTGTGAAACATTCACCCAATTTTCCCTAAAGAACACCTTGAATAACTCCAGGACAATACCAAAACCAGGATATAACCGACAGAGTTTTTTCATATTTCACCAGCTTTACACATACTTGTGTGTGTGATTCTGTGTACTTTTATACACACGTAGATTGATGTAAACACCATAGAAATCAAGGCAGAGGCCTCTTGCCCTCCCCAACCCTCCCCCAATGATATAGACCTGTTCCCTCACCACAAGGATCCCCCTCATGCTATCCCTTTATAGCCACATCCATCCCTAACCCCTGACAGTGACTAATCTGTTCCCTATCCTGGTAAGTTTGTTCTTTCAAGAATGTTATGAAAGTGGAATCATGTAGTATATAACCTTTTGAGATCGGATTTTTTCAGTCAGTATAATTCCCTTGAGATCGATACAAGTTATTCCCTGTATCATTTGTTCCCTTACCATAACATTTATCATCCACCTGTTGAAGAGCATTTGTGTGTAGGTTTTGTGCAAACACAAGTTTTCACTTATTTAGGACAAATATCCAAGAGTACAATTGCTGGATCATATGGGAAGTGTATGTTTAGTTTTAAAAGAAACTCCCAACTATTTTCCAGAGGGACTTTACCATTTTCAGTTCCCACCAGCAAAGCATCTGTTATCTTGTTTCTCTGGATCTTTACCAGCACTTGATGTTATCACTATTTTTTTAGCCATTCTGATAGATGGGTAGTGATACGTCATTGTGGTTTTAAACTGCATTTCCGTAGGGGCTAATGATGTTGAACATCTTCTCATGTACTTTGCTATCTTCATATCTTCTTCAGTGAAATGTGTCTTCATATTTTTTTGTCCATTTTCTAATTGAATTGTTTTCTCACTCTTAAGTTTTGAGTTCACATATTTTAGATGTTAGTCCTCTGGCAGGTAAGTAGTTTGCAAATATTTTCTTCCAGTCTGTATCATGTTGTCTTGTCGTCTCAATAGTCTTTCAGAGTACAAAAGTTTTTAATTTTGATGTGGTCTGATTTATATATTTTCCTTTTATGGATCATGCCTTTGGTTCTATGTCAAAAAACTCTTTGCCTAGCTCTAGATTCCAAAGATTTTCCTCTATGTAGTTCTCTAAAAGTGTTTTACACTTAATGTCATGGTTCATTTTCAGTTAATTTTTGTGTGCAGTGGAGGGTTTAGATTGTCTAGTTATTTTGCCTATGTAGATCCAATTACTTCAGTACTATTTAATGAAAAGGTTATCCTTCCATTAAATTGATTTTCCCCCTTTGTCAAAAATCAGCTGGGCAAATAATGAAGAAATAGAAAATATGAATAGACTATAGTAAGGAGATGAGATCAGTAATCAAACACCTCCCTGGAAAATTATACCAATCATTCAAAGAAAAATTAACACCAATCTTCCTCAAACTCTTCCAAAAAGTAACACTTACAAACTCGTGTCAAAGAGGGATAGCCTCTAAATCCATCCATGCTGTTGCAAATGGTGGAATCTCATACTTTCATTGGAGATATACATATATATATATGTGAGTGTATGTAACCTCATTATCCATTCTTCTATTGATGAACACCTAGGTTGCTTCCATATTTTTGCTATTGTAAATAATGCTGCAATAAACATAGAGGGGCATAGATCTTTTTGAATTAGGAGGTCTCCTTTCTTTGGCTGGGCCATTTACAAATATTATTAGTTGCAGATGCTACAATTTGCTGAAGCCATAGACAAAATCATTCTGAACCTTTACAACTCAGTATCATTCTTTACTGAAGCAATGCATTATTGGACAATGAGGTCTAAATATTTCATTGAAATTATTTTTTGATAGAGACAGTACAGTAACAAAGAATGAAATAAAAATTCTAAAATAAATGGACTGGCTTTCTGTTAGGCTCAAATACTCAAGCTTGATTTTATTTACATTTTGGTAAAATCCCATTTGATGACATGGAAAAAAAATGATAAAGTACTTCAGTGAATGGAAACACTTAGGTCAATATAAAACTTCTTGAACTTTCTTCTCTTTCAGCTTTGGTTTGCCTTTGTTAATGGATTTTCTGGGCAGATTATATTTGAACATTGGTGCATAAGCTTGTACAATGTGGTAAGCATTCTCCATCTTTATTTGATAGCATGCTGTTTATGTCTGGGAAGTGTATCTAAGTCAATCATCTGCACATAGCAGGCAGCACAAATACATCTTTAGAGCCTTTGTTGCTGCAACACATCTTGCAGAAGCCCATACTCTCCACACATGGTTTCAATCATAGGAGATCATTCTATAGCAACTACATTAAATTTCTATACAATGCATTTTGATAATATGTCCAAAACCTCCTTACTATATGCCTGTACAATGTTTTTAGGCTTTTAAGCCAAGTAATTATTATCGAACTCTACTTCTTTCCATTCTACTTAATACATATAATACATTTATTTATATCTGTGTATGTGGGTGTGTGTTTATAGTGTAGTTCCCCAGCCTTTTAAACCTCCTGGTAGAAAATTTGTCCTTTTGTAAATATTTTAACCCTGTGTTTGTAGGAAATGATGAATTTTGATATGAAGTCCTATAATAAATAAACAGAATCTTCTGAAACTAACAATCCCACACCATTACTTAACTCATTTTAAATTAAACTAGAAATAAACAGTATGGTTAAATGGTTTTTTAATTCACCTTTAAATTTTTTGTTTGTTTATTATTCCAGTTTAAAGATTAGAGGTCAGGGAAACCTAGCATAAAAATTAGGCTCCCAGTGAATATATCATGACCTTTCTTTTGTACTGCATTATCATAACATATTAGAATCTGGATATGCTGTGCCTTAATCCATAACATTCTGTCTTCTAGGAGCTTGAATTCTGAAACAGCACAGACAAGTCATTGAGTGTCCAATAATATAAAAATGTCTAGTGCTATGAATAGTTACAGTTGTGTACCTGTCAATTCTAGACCTATTTGCCTAGAGCACTATATCAGTGAACCTGTGGTCATACACATATTTGTCTCTACCAGGCTTTTGGTCGCAGATGACAATACTCAATTTTTTTTTTTTAAGTTTCATTACAGACTGGGCTGGCAGAATCTGTGTGTGAGAAAATTCACTATGAATGCATAGGCCACAGATATTGGTCAATAGAATTTTATTTATATATATATATATATATATATATATATATATATATATATGCAGTAAATGATGGCTTCAGTGGGAAACTTAAAATTGTGGACATTTTAGGATAATATGATGACTTAATATCCCCTGACTTATTAAATCTTATCTCATTACATATATATTTTACAGATGGGAGAAAGATGAAGCCTAGGACATCAAATAGTTACTGGCCATAAGAGAGCTAGATTGCTTATTTAATAACTACATTTAAATAGGTATTCATACTGTTTCTGGAGGTCCTGCATTATTTCTGCTTCTGCCCATGCATGACTAACTGCTATAGGAATTACCCTCCTACCAGAAATAACCTACAGTTTCAGCCAAAATATATAAAACAATGGTTTTCAAAAATTAAACAAAAGGCTGCTCATGGCTGTGATCCTTGAGAGAAGGACTATTTCCAAGCCACAGTGCAAGAAGATGGAGGCAAAAGAAAGCCCAGGTGTCTTAATGAGTTGAAGACACAGAGGTTGGAGCTCAGTGGGCCCAGGTAGCTAGAATGTCAAAGAGGAAACTGTACTGAGAGAGAGACAGAAAGAATGACTGAAGATCTATAGAGAGCCCCCTTGAGACTTTGGTTCTAGTTTGTGTATGCATGAGAAAAATCTACCCAAAGCTAGGGAAAGAACTACCAGAAAGCATTAGGATGAATTCTTGGAGTTAATTCAGGGCTAGGAATAACTAGTTACATATGATATTGGGAAAACTTAATCAAGTTACACTTTTAAAAATAAGGATAAATTAGACCTATAATAAACACTATTTTGGGCCCATCATAAGAAAACTTAAAAGCAACCTTAAAAAAACCATCAAACTAATTTGCAAGTCACTTACCTGCAAATCAGACACAGGCAAACAATATTTAAAGAGCTGAGCTGTCCTTCAACAGGTGATGGATAAAGAAGATGTGGTTCATATATACAATGGAATATTACTCAGCCATCAGAAAGGATGAAAACCCACCATTTGCATCGACATGGATGGAACTGGAGGGGATGATGCTAAGTGAAATAAGTCAAGCAGAGGAAGTCAATTATCAGATGGTTTCACTCATATGTGGAACATAAGGAATAGCATGGAGGACCACAGGGGAAGGGAGGGAAAACTAAATGGGAAGGAATCAGAGAGGGAGATAAACCATGAGAGACTCTGGACTCCAGGAACCAAACTGAGGGTTACAGAAGGGAGCGGAGTGGGGGGATGGGGTAATCGGGTGATAGGTATTAAGGAGGGCACATGTGGTGATGAGCACTGGGTGTTATATGCAATTAATGAATTGTTGAACACTACATCAAAAACTAATGATGTACTATATGTTGGCTAATTGAACATAATAAAAAATAAAAATACATAAAAAAGAAAAAAAAGAAATGGAGGCTAAGGGGGCTCCAAAGCCACAGAAAATATCTAATATATACAAATAAAGAACAAAATTAAGTACTCAAGAACACAGAATTCATAGTTGTGCATCCAATAAAAGATATCGGTCATGCAAGAAATAGGAAAATAAGATCCATAATGTGAAAAATAAGTCAATGAGAGCAGATATAAAAATTATTGTTGGAAAGAGTAGGTAAGAACTTAAAACAGGTATTTTAAATCTTATAAACATGTGCAAGAATATAAAGGAAGAAATGAACATAATGAGAAAAACAGAAGATATAGAAAAGAACCAAATAGAACCTTATGATGAAAAATACAATAGAAAATGGACATTTTTCTGGATGGTATTAAGAGCAAATTAGAAACTTCAGAAATAGGATCAGTAAATATGAAGACATAGCAATTATAGAAGCACAGAGAGAAAAATCAGAAAAACACACAAATGTTCTTCTTAACCTAATTGTTGCAAATCTGTGACCAAGAGAATAATCTTTAAATCAACCAGGTAAATATTATGTATAGAAAATAAATGTAGGAGTAAAAGCAGATTTCTCATTGAAAACCATGCAGGGCAGAAGACAATGGAATATCTTTAAAGATCTTAAAGAAAGAAAAATCCATTAACCCCAAATTCTATATCCAGCTAAAATGTCTTTTGCAAATAAACCAAGAAAATAGAAAATTTATCACCAGAAGACCTATAATACTTGAAATGTTAAAGGAAGCTCTTCAAACAAAAGGAAAAGTATACCAGGATGAAATTTGGATCTATCCAAAGAAATAAAGAGGAACAGAAATGTTAATTATATGGGAATTAATAAAAGACTTACCCTTTTCCCCTCATTTTCAGTCATGATGACAGATAACTGTTAAAGCAAAATTAATTATGTATTCTGGGATTTGTCATTAATTTAGAATAAAAATGTCTGATAAGTATAGCACAAAGAATGGGAGGAGGGATTTGAGAGTGTACTATTATTTGAATTTTGTGATACATTGCATATATATATATATATATATATATACTGTAAACCTTAAAGAACTAAAACCCCCAAAAGTTATGGCTAATGAATAATGGAGATAAAATCTTAATATTTCAATTACTTCAAAAGAAGTCAGTAAATAAGGTAGAGAGGAAGATGAAATGCAACAAATAGAAAAAATAGGAAGATGGGAGATTTAAATCCAACCACATTTATAATTACACTGAAATGTAAGTGGTCTAAATATTTAATTAAAAGGCAGATATTGTCAGATTGGATTAACAAAATCAAAACCTACTTCAAATATAAAGGCACAGGTAGGTAAAAAGGAAAAGGATGGGAAAAGATTTACTTTGTAAACAATAATTTTAAAAAAAAAGCCAAAGTGGCTATATTAATAACAGAAATAATAGCCTTCAGAAAAATAAATATGGCTAGTGATGAAGATTGATATTTCTTAATTATAAAGTGTTAACTTGTTGATAACACAGAATTCTATGTAAGAATAACATAGCTTATTAGAAACTAATTAGAAATGAAGCAGATATTGATATAATTAAATGGCAAGTTAAGTAAATCAACTCTTCCATTCAGAGACTTAAACTCTCTTTAATGAACAGGGTCTGGGTGTCCTAGCCAACCTACCACCTCCACGAGCCCTGGGACCCCAATCTACACCAGCACCAGCCATTGGTTTCTGATGAGCACTAAGTGCTTCTATGAAAAACCTACAGCTAACATGATACCTAATGGCAAAGCCTGTTCCCTTAAGATGAAGAACAGGAGAAGAATGTGTGTTCTTACCACTTCTATTCAACATCATCCTTAGGTCCTAGCCAGTGTAATAAGACCAAAAAAAAAAAAAAAGGATTGACAAAGAATAATGCTTGCTTTAGTTGCTGTCAACATTCTGTATAAAATTCTAGAAAATCTACATAGGTCATATGTTGTGTTAGATTGTTATAATAAAGGTCCCCCAATTTGTCCATGCCCTTCTGTATCCACATTTTTGGTGTACCCACTCACACTGACTCTGAGTTTGGTCATGTGATCGATTTAGCCAATGAGATAACAGCAGATACAAGAAGCCCAAAGATGTGAAAAATGCTTGCTCATTGAAGCTTGCACCATCTTGTTGCTCTTTGTGAAGAATCCCTGGTTAAACTGTCATAGAAACAGAAACAATATGGAGCAGAAATATGTCACTTCTATCTTCCTGCTATTTTCCTCTCATTTTCTCTCCCCTCTCCTCCTTTCCCCTTCTTTCTCCTTTTTTAACTTCTCCCTTACTTCACCATTTTTTTTCTATTATTATACCTACTATTACAAGGTTCCCTCCTTGACAAGGTCCAGAGGGAACTTGGATCTTAAAGGATCATGTATTTTTCATTTAATATGGTTGCTAGCATAATGATTGTTAGTAAAATATTTGAAGAGTAAATGAGTAGGAAACATCCCTTTGTTTCTGATAATAATTATCAAGATAAAGAATTCTTGTGTATTTTTTTTAATCTAACATTCACAACACTATTTACTGAGTAACTACTACCTGCCAAGACCTGGCAAGTGAACTAGCTTATAAAACCAACTGGTTCTTATGAGGGATACAGATATCATTATTGGTAGATATATTGGTCAGTACCATGCCTATTATTTAAATATCTAGATATTCAATTTATTTTTATGCTCATTAAATAGAAGAAATTTATTCATTTTATGCTCATAAAGCAACATTTACAGTTTCAAATCAATCAGAAAATTTAAGTCATGATTTGTTAAATGTGTTTGAATCTATGTGACTCATTAATATCGTCTTTGTAAATAATTTTTGTTTTTAAATAGCATAAGACTTACCAGAATATGCAAAAACAGTTCTGTGTACCCTTCAACCAGTTTCCCCCATAATGATATCTTAATAGTTGTAATACATTATCAAAGTCAGGAAACTGACATTGCTACAATATTAACTCCATTACAGACTAAAAGTTCTTTTTACTAAATCCTTGTTTTCTATGTAGATTTTCACTTCATTACCCCCTTTTACTCTGGGGATCTTTGAACAGTGTTGCAGTCAGAAGAGCCTGCTTACACATCCACAGCTCTACAGGATTTCTCAGGCAGGGAATACTTTCAACACAAAGGTAAACAGAAGACTTATTGCAGGCCTTTCATCTCAACACCAAAGTTACCTTTGGTCTTTTCCTTTTCTGATGCTTAAAAAAATAATTTACAAACCAAGGGATGCAGCCCTGTGCAATCATTTACCTTGTAGTTTAGTTTATCCAGGAAATTGAGGTTTAAATAATAATATGTGGGGAAGAGAAGCCTTAAAGAGAAAGAAGCAAGGCACCATGTATGGTCCCACAAATTGTGCACTGAGCAGCTTCAGGAGGCATGTTGTGCAATGGGGCAGTCCTGGAAAATACTTTTCTTCATCTTTTTAGATGAGACAAGTGATTCTTTTGGAATGATTTCTTCCTGGGATCATGGAGTTGAGATTTAACAGGGGAATTAAAGGGATTTTATAGGCCATAAGAGTAAACCTAATTGCATCTCAATCATTAGTGAAGCTTTAAAAAAATATAGACACCTGCAAGTATCTTTTCAAATTAGTGTTTTTGTTTTCTTTGGCTAAATACCCAGTAGTGCCATACTAGATCACATTATCATTATATTTTTAACTTTTTGAGGAACTTCTATACTGTTTTCCATAGTGGGTGTAGCAATTTGCATTCCTACCAACAGTACACAAGGGTTCCTTTTTCTCTACATTCTTACCAACACTTGTTATTTCTTGTATTTTTTATTTCAGCCATTTTGACAGGTGTAAACTGATATTTCATTGTGGTTTTAATTTACATTTCCATGATGATTGATGTTGAGCATCTTTTGATGTGTCAGTTAATCATCTGTTAGGTCTTCTTTGGAAAAACGTCTATTCAGGTCCTCTGCCCATTTTAAATCACATTGTTTTGGGGTTTTTTTGGTTATTGTTTATATTGTTCTTTATATATTTTGTTCTTTATATATTTTGCATATTAATCCCTATGCACTCCTGTATTTATTGCATCATCTGCAATAGCCAAAATATGGAAGTAACCCAAGTGTCCACCAATAGATGAATGGATAAAGAAGATGTGGTATATACATATATACAATGGAATGTTACTCAGCAATAAAAGGAATGAAATATTGCCATTTGCAATAACATGGATGGACTTAGAGGGTATAATGCTAATTGAAATAAGTTAGAGAAAGACAAGTACCATATGATTTCACTCATATGTGGAATTTAAGAAACAAACAAGTGAACAACAACAACAAAAAGAGTAAAAAAGTAGACTCTTAAAAACAGGGAACAAACTGGTGTTGCCAGATGAGAGCTGGATAGGAGGATGGGTGAAATAAAAGGAATCAAGAGCACACTTATCATGATGAGCACTGAGTAATGTTTAGAATTATTAAATCATTATATTGTGTGCCTGAAACTAATATAACACTGAATGTTAATTTTACTTTGATAAAAAAAATATAGACACCTGGAAAAAACATGGGCCTTTTAAATATATTGCTTCATGGCTCAGAATATGGTCTATCTTATAAATATTTTATCTTTGTACAGAATGATTAAATTAGGTCAAATTCTTATTTTCTGTCCATTTATTCTATCAATTATGGAAAGGAACTAAAATCTCCCAACTGAAAGTATAGATTCATCTCTATCTTTTTGACGTTCTATCAGTTTTGCTTCACATACTTTGAAGTACTGTTATTAGGTGTATAGATGTTTAGGATTGTTACATTGTCTTGATTGATCGCTTTTTCACTAAGAAATTACCTTTTTAAAATCTGTTTTGTCTGATACTAGCATGACCACTTCAGCTTTTTTAACTGTTTCTGTATCTTTTTCCATCCCTATAACCTATTTGTGTCTTCATACTTAAAGTGTATTTCTTATAGGCAGTTTATAGTCTTGCTTTGTTATCCAATCTGATAATATCTGTCTTTATACTGAGTGTTTACAGCATTTATATTTAATGTGTTTATTGATGTGTTTTGGTGTAAACTTACCATCTTTCTATATATTTTCCATTTTTCCTAATAAAATTTGTTTCCTTGTTTTCTGTTCTGATTTCTTTTGGAATAATTTTTGTGAATTCTATTTCATCTCCTTGTTGGCTTCTTAGGTTTCTTCTTTTTTTAAGAATTTGTTTAGGTTTTATACATCTTCAGGTTAGTATAGTCGATCTTCAAGTGATATACTAATTCACACCACAGTATAAAAAACTTAATGGTACACTTCCATATCTCTCCTTCTGACTTTTGGACTGTCATACATGTTACTTTTACATATGTTAAAAACCCCATACTATATTCACATTTGTGTTTGAACATTTTTAAAAGTGATTTAAATAGCAAAATAAATACTTTTGGGTTTTTTTTAAGATTTTTGTTTATTTGTCAGAGAGAGACTGAACAAGCAGGTGGAGCGGCAGGCAGAGAGAGAAGCAAGTTACCTGATGCAGGACTCGATCCCAGAACCCTGGGATCATGACCTGAGCCAAAGGCAGACGCTCAACCAACTGAGCCACCCAGGTGTCACAGCAAGAGAAACACTTAAATCTTTACCCATATATTTATTATTTCCAGTGATCTATCCTTTGTGTAGATTCACATTATTATTTGTTGTAATTTCCTTTCTGCCTGAAGGACTTCCTTTAAAATTTCTTGTAGTGCTAATCTGCTGGTGATGAACTCTTTCAGCTTTTATATATCTCAAAAAAATCTTCATTTTACTTTTACTTTTTAAAAATTTTTTATTGTTATGTTAATCACCATACACCATTAGTTTTTTATGTAGTGTTCCATGATTCATTGTTTGTGCATAACACCCAGTGCTCCATGCAGAACGTGCCCTATTTAATACCCATCACCAGGCTAACCCATCCCCCCAAACCTGTTTGTTTTTCAGAGTCCATTGTCTCTCATGGTTCGTCTCCCCCTCTGACTTACTCCCCTTCATTCTTCCCCTCCTGCTATCTTTTTTTTTCTTAACATATATTGCATTATTTGTTTCAGAAGTACTGTGATTCAACAGTCCTGCACAATTCACAGCACTCACCATAGCACATACCCTCCCCAATGTCTATCACCCAGCCACCTCATCTCTCCCACCCTCCACCACTCCAGCAACCCTCAGTTTGTTTCCCAAGGTTAAAAATTCCTCATATCAGCGAGGTCATATGATACATGTCTTTCTCTGATTGATTTATTTCACTCAGCATAACACCCTCCAGTTCCATCCATGTCGTTGCAAATGGCAAGATCTCATTCCTTTTTATGGCTGCATAATATTCCATTGTGTATATATACCACCTCTTCTTTATCCATTCATCTGTCGATGGACATCTTGGCTCTTTCCACAGTTTGGCTATTGTGGATATTGCTGCTATAAACATTGGGGTGCACGTACCCCTTCGGATCCCTACATTTGTACCTTTGGGGTAAATACCCAGTAGTGCAATTGCTAGATCAGATGGTAGCTCTATTTTCAACCTTTTGAGGAGTCACCATACTGTTTTCCAGAGTAGTTGTACAAGCTTGCATTCCCACCAACAGTGTAGGAGGGTTCCCCTTTCTCCACATCCCCGCCAACATCTGTCATTTCCTGACTTGTTAATTCTAGCCATTCTGACTGGTGTGAGGTGGTATGTCATTGAGGTTTTGATTTGGATTTCCCTGATGCCGGGCGATGTTGAGCACTTTTTCATGTGTCTGTTGGCCATTTGGATGTCTTCTTTGGAAAAATGTCTGTTCATGTCTTCTGCCCGTTCCTTGATTGGATTATTTGTTCTTTGGGTGTTGAGTTTGATAAGTTCTTTATAGATTTTGGATACTAGCCTTTTATCTGATATGTCATTTGCAAATATTTTCTCCCATTCTGTCGGTTGTCTTTTGGTTCTGTGGACTGTTTCTTTTGCTGTGCAAAAGCTTTTTATCTTGATGAAATCCCAATAGTTCATTTTTGCCCTTGCTTCCCTTGCCTTTGGCGATGTTTCTAGGAAGAAGTTGCTGCGGCTGAGGTCGAAGAGGTTGCTACCTGTGTTCTCCTTTAGGATTTTGATGGACTCCTGTCTCACGTTTAGGTCTTTCAACCATTTGGAGTCTATTTTTGTGTGTGGTGTAAGAAAATGGTCCAGTTTCATTCTTCTGCATGTGGCTGTCCAATTTTCCCAACACCATTTGTTGAAGAGACTGTCTTTATTCCACTGGACATTCTTTCCTGCTTTGTCGAAGATTAGTTGACCATAGAGTTGAGGTCCCTTTCTGGGCTCTCTCTTCTGTTCCATTGATCTATGTGTCTGTTTTTGTGCCAGTACCATACTGTCTTGATGATGACAGCTTTGTAATAGAGCTGGAAGTCCGGAATTGTGATGCCGCCAGCTTTGCTTTTCTTTTTCAATATTCCTCTGGCTATTTGGGGTCTCTTCCGGTTCCATACAAATTTTAGGATTATTTGTTCCATTTCTTTGAAAAAAGTGGATGGTATTTTGATGGGGATTGCATTGAATGTGTAGATTGCTCTAGGTAGCATTGACATCTTCACAATGTTTGTTCTTCCAATCCATGAGCATGGAACGTTTTTCCATTTCTTTGTGTCTTCCTCAATTTCTTTCATGAGTATTTTATAGTTTTCTGAGTACAGATCCTTTGCCTCTTTGGTTAGGTTTATTCCTAGGTATCTTACGGTTTTGGGTGCAATTGTAAATGGGATCGACTCCTTGATTTGTCTCTCTTCTGCCTTGTTGTTGGTGTATAGGAATGCCACTGATTTCTGTGCATTGATTTTATATCGTTCTACTTTACTGAATTCCTGTATGAGTTCTAGCAGTTTTGGGATGGAGTCTTTTGGGTTTTCACATACAGAATCATATCATCTGCAAAGAGTGAGAGTTTGACTTCTTCTTTGCTGATTTGGATGCCTTTGATTTCTTTTTGTTGTCTGATTGCTGAGGCTAGGACTTCTAATACTATGTTGAATAGCAGTGGTGAGAGTGGACATCCCTGCCGCGTTCCTGACCTTAGGGAAAAAGCTCTCCGCTTTTCCCCATTGAGAATGATATTCGCTGTAGGTTTTTCA